CTATTAAACAATGAATGGGTCAATAATGAGATCAAAGAAGAAATAAAAAAGTTTCTATAAACAAATGAAAATGAACATACAACAGTCCAAAATCTATTGGACACAGCAAAGGCCATCCTCTTTTTTAGGTAGGTAATCCAGGCCTACCTAAAAAAGATAGAAACATTTCAAATAAACAACCTAAACGTACATCTTCAAGAACTGGAGAAACAAGAACAAACAAAACCCAGAGCAAGTAGAAGGAAGGGAATAATCAGGATCAGAGCAGAACTGAATGACACAGAGACTAAAAGAACAATTCAAAGGATCAACAAACCCAAGAGCTCGTTCTTTGAAAAGATAAACAAAATCAACAAGACTTTAAGCAGACTCATCAAGAAAAAACGAGAGAGGACCCAAGTAACTAATATCAGAAATGAAAGAGAAGAAATTACAACTGATACCACAGAAATACAAAGATTGTAGAAATTGCTATTAACAATTACATGCCAAGAAATTTGAAAACCTGGGTGAAATGGACAAATTTCTAGAAAAATATAACCTTCCAACACTGAATGAAGAAGAAGCAGAAAGCCTGAACAGACTGACAACAACTGGTGAAATTGAAGCACTAATCAAAAACTTCTGGCACACAAAAGCCCTGGACTGGACAGTTTCACAGTAGAATTTTACAAAACATTTCAGGAAGAGCTAACCCCTGTCCTTCTCAGACTATTCCAAAAGAATCCAAGAAGAGGGAAAACTCCCAAACTTTTTATGAGGCCAGCATCATCCTAATCCCAAAACCAGATAAAGACACAACAAAGAAAGAAAACTACTGGCCAATATTGCTGATGGACATAGACGCTAAAATCCTGAAGAAAATATTGGCAAACCGCATCCAGCAACACATTAAAAGGATCATTCACCATGATCAAGTGGGATTCATCCTAGGGATGCAAGGATGGCTCAATATTAACAAATCAATAAACATACTACATCATATAAAAGGAAAGACAAAAGTCACATGATCATATCAATAGATGCAGAAAAAGTATTTGATAAGGTACAGCACCCATTTATGATAAAAACACTCAGCAAAGTGGGAGTAAAAGGGGCATACCTCAACATAATAAAGGCCATATATAAAAAACCTACAGCCAACATCATACTCAAAGGGCAAAAATGAAAAGCTTTTCCACTAATATTGGGAACAAGACAAGGTTTTCCGCTTTTACCATTTCTATTCAACATAGTATTGGAAGTCCTAGCCATAGCAATCAGACAAGGAAAAGAAATAAAAGGCATCCAAATTGGAAAGGAGGGAGTAAAACTCTCATTGTTTGTAGATGACATGATAATGTACATTGAAAACTCCAAAGACTCCACCAAAAAATACTGAATCTAACAAGTCAATTTTACAAAACAGCAGGATACAAAGTAAATATTCAGAAATCGAAGGCATTTTTGTACACCAACAGTGAAATATCAGAATCAGAAATCAGGAAAAAATACCCCATTTTCTATAGCAACAAGAAAAATAAAGTACCTGGGAATAAACTTAACCAAGGAGGTAAAAGACCTGTACTCAGAAAACTACAGAACACTGAAGAAAGTAATTAAGGAAGACACAAATAAATGGAAGGATATACCGTGTTCATGGATCGGAAGAATTAACATCATCAAAATGTCCATACTACTGAAAGCAATTTGTAGGTTCAACACAATCCCTATTAAAATACCAATGATGTATTTCACAGGTATAGAACAAACATTTCAAAAATTTATATGGAACCATAAATGACCCCAGGTAGCTGCTGCAATTTTGAGAAAGAAAAACAAAGTAAGAAGGATCACAATACTGGACATCAAACTATATTACAAGGCCACTGTAATCAAAACATTCTGGTACTGGCATAAGAACAGACACATAGATCAATGGCACAGAATAGAGAGCCCAGAAATAAACCCATGTCTCTATGGTCAATTATTATTTGACAAATGGGGCAGAAGCATAAAATGGAGTAAAAAATAGCCTCTCCAACAAATGATGTTAGGAGATCTGGACAGCTATATGCAAAATTCGAACACCAACTTTCACCATACCGAAAAATAAACTCCAGATGCATAAAAAACTTAAATATAAGTCATGACACCATAAAAGTCCTAGAGGAGAACATAGGCAGGAAACTCTCAGATACTCCATGCAGCAATATTTTCACCAATATGTCCCCTAGAACAAGGGACATAAAGGAAAGCATAAACAAATGATATTTCATCTAAATAAGAAGCTTCTGCACAGCTAAAGAAGATATCAGCAAAATGAAAAGGGAACCCACCATATGGGAAAATATATTTGCCAATGATACCTCAGAGATTTGATTTCCAAAATATATAAAGAACTCAGGTGACTCCACTCCAGGAAGACAAACAATCCAATTAAAAAATGGGCAAAGGCCTTGAACAGACACTTCTCCAAGGAGGACACACACGGGGCCCAGAGATATATGAAAGGATGCTCAGCATGACTAGCCATCAGAGAAATGCAGATTCAAACCACAATGAGATACCACTTCACACCAGTCAGAATTACCATCATAAACAAATCAACAAACAACAAGTGCTGGTGAAGTTGTTGAGAAAAGGGAACCCCAGTACACTGTTTTTGGGAATGCAGACAGGTGCACCCACTGTGGAAGACAGTTTGGAATTTCCTGAAAAAGCTGAAAATGGAACTCCTTTTTGACCCAGTGATTCCACTGCTGGGATTATACCCTAAGAATTCCCAAACACCAATTCAAAAGAACCTATGCACCCCAATGTTCATAGCAGCACAGTTTACAATAGCCAAGTATTAGAAGCAACCCAAGTGCCCATCAATAAATGAATGGATTAAAAAAACTCTAGTACATTTACACAATAGAATACTATGCAGCAGAAAGAAAGAAAGAGCTCCTACCCTTCACAACAGCATGGATGGAACTGGAGAACATTATGTTAAGTGAAATAAGCCAGAGGGTGAAAGACAAATACCATATGATCTCACCTATAAGTGGAACCTAATCAACAAAACAAAAAGCAAGTGAAATATATCCAGCAACAGTGAAAGAAAAAACAAACCGATAGTAACCAGAGCGGAGGAGATAGGAGGTAACAGGGAAAAGAAGGGGAAGGGTCAAGTCAAGGAACATATGTGAAGGACCCATGGACAAAGCCAAAGTGGGGAATGGTGGGAGGTGGGGGTGGGTGGGGAAGGAAGTTTGGTGGCAGGAAAATAGAGACAAATGTATTGAACAGTGAATAACATAAATTAAAAAAATAAAAAATGTATAAAGGCTTTTTTTTCCAATTTTTTTTTACTGTTATTCTATCACAGTGGTCCCAATTTCCCCCCTTTGCTCTCCTTGATACTTTTTTAAAAGTGTTATATTGGTTTCTCCTTTGTGACTTTTCCAGCATAAGGAAGTGGCAACTCTCTTGGTATTTTAAACTATATTTACCTGTTTTTACAATGTGCGGGACCCGAAAGGACCCCTGCATGTAAAAAAGAGGCCTATTATGATAATATAAAAGAATAATTATAATGAGGAAATGCTGCGACCCGTGAGGAGTGGTGGTCCCTGAGTGGGAGTGATGGGAGATTGAGAAAGGACAGCACAACACAAAGACACAACACAAGACAATTTAGAGAAACGTGGGGGCCAAGTGGGACATTGTCCTCTGATGGAGAGACAATGACAATGACAATGACAATGACCACAGTCTCCGCATTTATTTTATAGGGGTTGGTTAGATAAAGTCCAAGGGAGTTTTGCAGACTTAAGGGAACCCTATGGGCACGGATTGTTCTGTCCCCAGGCTATCTGCATGATAAAGCTTTCTTCTGCAAAGGTTGCAGTCATCTTCAGCGGAAGCTTGAGGGTATCTACTCCCTTCTCAACGCCCCCAGGCTGGGGCTGACGGCAGTTGCCAGCTTGCTCTGCTTTGCAGATTCAAGCGGTCGAGCATGGCCTTGCCAAGCACTTAACCTGGCTTTTGACGTCAGCCTTCACCGCCCCCGACAGAGGAAATAATCTTCCTAGATTTTTACTTACTTCACCTTAAGATTCAGTATAGTGCAAGCACAAATAAAACTGCACTCATTGTCTAATGTTCAGCCAAGCAGCCATATCCTGTTATGAAATTATATTCTAAAAGTCATAACAGTTTGATTACATACATGATTAGATACATGGAATGTGGTGCTGGAGTACCTGGATTTAACTTAAAGCTCTACCATTTACTAACTGGGTAATTGTGGGCAAAATACTTAGTTTTCTCATCTGTAATATTGGCATAATGATAGTTCATACCTAGTAAGTTTTAGAAATTATGGGATTTGATATATGTAAAGTGTACATATGTGTTAGTTATTATCATTAGATATAGTTTTCTTTTTTAAATATTTTTAAAGATTTTTTTATTCATTTATTTTTAAACAGAGGGGAAGGGAGAGAGAAAGATGAGGAGAGAAACCTCAATATGTGGCTGCCTCTTGCTCACCCGCCCACTGGGGACCCGGCCCACAACCGAGACACGTGTCCCGACCAGGAATGGAACCGGTGACCATTTGGTTCACAAGTCAGCACTCAGTCCCCTGTGCTACACCAGCTAAGGCAATATATTTTTTCTCAGGTCCTTTAAGATATATAGTTTTTCAGAAATAAAATATTAAAAGAACGGATCACCTTTACAGCATTGATTTTAATAGTATTGCATGAAAAAAATTCTAAATGTGTTTTAGAGGATGAAACAGCTATTACCTTTACCCTGCTGATGAACAGAGGCATTCCTTTTGGAAAACGGAGGTACTGCGTGCTTCTTGAAATAGCTGTCCACCACAAATAAACATTACTCTATGCTACTGGGTGTGTTCAATGTGTAAATAGATTGTGGGAACACGAGCAACTGGTTTTTCAAGTTCTTGCTCCTACCACATACCATGAGGGTCAAGTAGTCCAGCATTCTACAGTTTGAGTGTCTGAAAGAAAAGTGAGCCTCCAAAAATGTTCTAACCATCAAATTGAGGTAAGAATAGGGGTCTTCAGTGTGACAACCAATTTCTTGATATTTTTATTTTTCTGTGTTTGAGGGGTGGGGTTTGCTGTTGGGAAATACCTCTTTTACAATAAAAGGTGAAAGGAAGGAATATTATAAAAGGGACATTTTAGCCATTGGGCTTTTATATAGGTTTGATGGCTTGAGGAGGGAAATGTTAAGTATCTTGTTATTAGCACTTAATTTAATCTACAAATGGAAACATTGCAATAATCCCACTGAAGAATGATTGTCTCCAGGAACAAATAAAAATATGTATCCTAGTGACATAAATCAAGTTCACAGGAGAAGTACCATGTCACTTTGCCAAAATCTTCTCATACATCTATGTATAAGATAGCAGCCCTTTTGCTCTAAATTGCTTTCATTTGTTAGACAAATCAGATGTCTTATTTAGCATTGTTGAACTGTTGTTTGCATTCAGCTACATTTGTAATATGGTTAAACATTCAGTATGGATATATATTTAGTAGAAGGATTGCTAAAGTCTGAAAACCCTGGAGTAATTTCAAGATAAACGTGTTTTTAACACCACGAGGAGATGAGATACTGACAGTGAATATGAATATACATTAGAAAGATGTATCAGGTTTTTAAAAAATTCTGTTTAGTATATATTGTTTTAATTAGCAATGCTATCTTCCTTTTTTAAGTGGCAAACACATCTGCAACATAATATATGAAAATATATACTTAGAGAAAAAGAATTATTCATTTAAAACATTCAAAATAGTAAATAGAAAACACTCCTTAAGATGATAACATATTTTAAAATGCTACTTTAATCTTAGCTTCCTTAAAATGTCTCCTAAACACAGGAATTGAGCGTTTAATATGTTACTTTCTAAGTTGTTTGTACGTTGTTTAGATGACAGTTTAAATACAAGATTTATAATTTGTATACCATGACTTAAGTGTGTGAAAACGTTCAATTGGACTCTAGTGAAATCCTTCAACAGACCCATATACACATACACACATATACACATGTTTACATATGGGCAACTAATATCTGGGAAACAGGTGAGAAAATGTCTTTTTGTTGTCAAATCATGTTTGTTCTATGTACTTAGGATTTTCTAAAATTCTCTGCCAGTCTTTGCTTAGGAATTACCTGTGTTGTCATTGAATTCATTCAAGTTTGATAAAGTCTTCTAATAGGTATAGGGAATTAAATAATAAAGTAATTATTTCTACCTCTTTGTGTCCTGGAGGCACGTTTAGTATTTTTGTTGAAACTACTTTCTTATTATTTAGTATGTTAAGGAAAGGAAAAGGAAATGAGACTTTTATATGTAAAATGAGCAGTTTGTTTTAACTAAGCTCTATTATACAAGGCATATGTTATGACTATTTTGCGAGCATGTGTAAACACTTAGCTCTTTGTCTTTAATACTTTCTAGTTTGGAATTTACTTGTAACTATGTTTTTGTGCAACCCATATGTTGCTTGTGTATGTGCTATTGCTCTCACACATTCACCTACCCACACACATTAACACATTTTGGATGATTTTACAGGACTCGAACTTCTCTGCAACTTGCTTTCATTCCTGCCTCTGTCTTTCTGTGGATAGTATCACCATTGCCTTTGATCTCTCTTTCGTTATCATGCTTTCTCCCCGTCTTTCATCATGCTTAACCCTTAGGCTTCTGATTCTACTAAATATAGCAGTAATAAAGCAGGTGGTCCCATTGCTTCCATCCTTTGTGGAGCTGGCTACTGTAGCGGCTATCTTAAGTTGTGAAAAATCATCTGGAAGTCAGGTAGAGTTCTTAAAGGAACAATATTGATAAATAGATACTGTCCTAGGAGAGGAAATTTACTTGATCTGGTTTTTCTTTCCTTTTAGCAAAAGCACATCTCTAAGATGAAGTTAACAAAATCTGTTCCTACTACCTTACTACCTACTTTCTATCTTTTAAAAGCCCCCTTTCTTTAAATTCCCCTGTGACATATCATCTTCATCACTTTGTTGACGCTGTAATTCCAAGGGTCACTTGTGCTGTTATTAGGATGTTTCATTGTATTCATTTATTTATTTACCCACTTAATAAATATTTATTTATCCACTTAATAAATATTTATTTGGTGACAGCTATGTATTGGGTATTGCTAGGCACTAAAGTTACAGTGGGAAATACTAAGTTAAGGTCTGCCTTTATGTAACTCCAGTTTAGTTAGGAAAGATGTTAAGTTACCCAAATAATTTTCAATTGTGATAAGTGCTATTGAGGGTACTTTTCCAAATCCTTTTCTTATTTGACTTCTTTGCTTTGTGTGCCATTCATGATCACTTCCTACCTCTTGAATTTTCTCCTTCCTTGTTATCCATCAGTCTATATTATCTATTCAACTACATTTCTACCATTTTCCCTCTGGTTCTCTTCTCTTCCCTAAGTGTTCGTTTCTCGCAAAGTTTTAGCATTTGGCCCATGATCTATTACTTATTTTCTTTGCCTGTGACTTCTCATCAACCCATAGTTTTATTTTATTTTATTTGTTTAATCTTCATCTGAGGATACATTTATTGATTTTAGAGAGAGAGGTTGGGAGAGAGAGAAACATCAATCAGTTGCCTCCCCATATGTGCCCTAACCAGGGATCAAACCCACAACCTAGGTATGTGCCCTGACTGGGGACTGAACCTGCAACGCTTTGGTGTACAAAGATGGCACTTCAACCAATGGAGCTACACAGCCAAGGCAACCCATAGTTTTAAATATCGCCCCTAAGTGAATGCCTCTAAGATACCAATTTCCAGATCTTTCCATCTGATATATATTTTCACACTTGTATTTTCAACTGTCACCCAATATTCATCATGGTTATAGACAAACTTACAGTCTTTATGTCAAACCACTTCGTCCTTTTTTCATGTTTCTGCTAATGACATTGATGATGTCCTAGTTTCTCACAGGTGAAATCTTGAAGTCAATTTTGCTTCTAACATTCTTTTGCACTCAATACCAAAACCACTAATGAGTAAATCTTTTTAATTTTTTCATGAAAATATGTGTAACATATATACTTTCTTATATATCTTCTCTGTTATTATTCTTTTTAAAAAAAGATTATATTTATTTTTAGAGAAGGGGAAGGGAAGGAGAAAGGGAGAGAAACATCAATGTGTGGTTGCCTCTTGTGTACCCCCTGCTGGGAACTTGGCCTACAACCCAGGCCTGTGCCTTGACTGGGAATTGAACCGGCAACCCTTTTGCAGGCTGGCATTCAAACCACTGAGCCACACCAGCTGAAGCTAATTTTTTCTTTTATTTTCTATTTCCTCATCCTCTCCTCCCTCAATCTGAGAGCTACCTAGAATTCAAGTTCTTGGTCAGACCCCACCTCCATCAGAAATTCCATTCCTTATGGAATCTTCTTTTTCTAAACTTTGGGGACAGAATCATGAGAGAGTGGTAGAAAGAGCCCAGCCTTCGGTAGCCAAAGACCCAAGTTTATAGTCTGATTCTGCCATTCACTGCCACCCATGCACTTTGTCTGTGAGCCTCAGGCTCCTCACACATGTCTTATATCACCCAGTGGTCAGGAGGAAAAATAAGATCATGGAGGTAAAATCATTTAAAACTGTGAAGCGCTGTATACATATTAAAGTAAAATTTGTTAATAGAATAATAATGCAGGGGCAGGAAACAAGGCCATGGGTTTGAACTGCTCAGGCAGTATAGTGTAGGGGCTGAAAGCATGGACTCTGTCGCTGGCCTACCTGTTTGAATCCTGATTCTGCTATTTCTCAGCTGTGTGAAATTGGGAAAATTTAGTTAGCTTTTCTGTCCCTGAGTTTCCTCACCTATAAAATAGGAGTAATAATAGTTTGCACTCATAAGGAGGGTAGTAGGATTAAAAGGGTTAATAGATGCAAAATACTTAAAAACAGTGCTTGGCATATAATTAGTGCTTTATAAGTGGAAATCATGGTTGGAACCAGTTGGGTTGTGTTGGGGTACAAGCTGGGAGTGAGTTATTTGAATTGAGTCACCTCATGAGGATCTGGTGCATCAAGGATGGAAATACAGAGCCAGAGTGGACACCTCTACCTGGCTGAATACCTCATGATTCAGGTCAAAAATGATCCTGTTATATAGGACAGAACTGAGCAAATGCACATCAAAGAGGCATGGACATTCTGAGCAACCATTTGGGGCTCAGGGGTAGGGGTAAGGATTTTTCAGACAGATTTTTTTTGGTTAAATAAAAAATGGCATGTGGTTTGCTCTTTGGAGTCATGAAATATGTAGGTATGTAATGGAATCAAAATATCAGTATCCAGATGTCTAAATGTTAAGAAACAAACTTCTTTATCCTCTGTATTCTAGAAATCTCTTCCTTGAACAAGTATGATCTTAGAGTATTTTGGACTGTAAATGACCTTAGAAATTGTATTCCTCTGAATTTATAAGATCATTGCCCAGTTTTTTACTAACACACAATAGTTCATTTTGGATGATGGTTTCTTTTCATGTTAAGAAAGGACAAACAATAATACTTAGAATGTTCCAGGGATTTTTCTAAATGTTTTAAATTGTTTAACTTATTTAATCTTCAGAAGAACCTCATGAGATAGATATTATTATCTCATTTATAAGAATAAACTTAGGATCACACAGATGATGCATAATTTATGGGTAATTGAGCCAGGTGTCAAACCCAGGCAGGACAACACCAGAACCCATATTCTCAAACATTAAGCCTTATTATCTTAGCACCTCTGTGTGCTAGGCTCTGGTTAGGTGAGCTGGTTTTGGAGTGCTGAGAAGCTGTTAAATGTTGCAGCTCCAGTTTTCCTTGACAACTGATATTAAAAGTTTAATAGATTTTCAATAATATGAATTAAATAAGATTTATACTAAGTATTCCAAAATCTGTGCAAGAAAAGTCCAGTTTTTCTTAGTCATTGTTCTGTATGTGAGGATCAAAGACCTCAAATAGCGATTCTAGATAGTATATTA